CACGTGTTGAAGAGACTATTCTTTCTCACCTTAAATTCTCCTGCTACTCTTGTCAAAAATCAGTTGACCATAAGTCTAAGGATTTGTTTCTGAACTTTCTCCTTATGCTAGTATCACACTGTCTTGAAACTGTGGCAAGTTTTAAAATTGGGATGTGTGGATTCTCCAACTTTGTGCTTTTTTTTTCAAGATTATTTTGGCTATCTAGGGCCCCTCACATTTCCACTTGAATTTTAAGATCTGCTTGTCAATTTCTGCCAAAGAGGCAGCTAGGATTTTGATAGGGATTGTGTTGAGACTGTAAATAAATTTGGTTGAGTGTTGCTATCTTAATAATATTAAGTCTTCCAATCCATGACACAGGACGTCTTTTCATTTTTTATGTCTTCTCTAATTTCTTTCAATGATGTTTGTAGTTTTCAGTGTACAAATGTTGCACTTCTCTTGTTAATTTTATTCTTAAGTGTTTTATTATTTTTGATGCTATTGTGAAAGAAATTTTTCCACTTTCACTTTCAGGTTATTAATTACTTGTGTATATAAATACAATTGATTTTTGCATATTGATCTTGTATCCTACAATCTTGCTGAACTCATTTATTAGTTCTAATCGTTTTTGTGTGTGAGAATTCCGTATGATTTTCTACATACAAGATCATGCCATCTGTGAATAGACATAGTTTCATATCTTTCTTCCTAATCTGGATGCCTTTTATTTTTTTCTTGCCTAATCGCCCTAACTAGAACCTCCAGTATAATGTTCAATAGCTCAATAGAAGTGTCAAGAATGCACATCCTTGCATTATTCCCAATCTTACTGAGAATGCATCCAGTCTTTCATCATTAAGTATGATGTCACCTGTGGGTTTTTCAGAGATAGCCCTTATCAGGTTGAGGAAGCTCTCTTTTATTCCAAGTTTGTTGAGTGTTTTTGTCATGAAAGGATGTTTCATTTTGTCAAATGATTTTCTGTATCTATTGAGATGGTGATGTGTTTTTTGTCCTTTATTCTATGAATACGGTGTATTATGTTGATTGATCTATATTTTAAACCAATCTTGCATTCCTGAGATAAATCCCTCTTGCTCGTGGTGTATAATCTTTCTTACATGGTAATGGATTTGGTTTGCTAATATTTTATTGAGAATTTTTTGTCTGTATACTTAACAGATACTGATATGTAGTTTTCTTCCCTTGTGATGTCATTTTCTGGTTTTGGTATCAGGGTAATATGGCCTCAAAGAATGAGTTGGTAAATGTCCCCTCCTCTTCTACTTTTTAAAATTATTTTTGATTGTGGTAAAATACAAATAATATAAAATATATCATCTTATCCATTTTTAAGTATGCAATTCTGTGGTATTAAGCACTCCTCTTCTATTTTTGGCAAGAATTTGTGAAAGATATGTTAATATTTAATATTTAATAACATATTATGAATATTTAATAACATAAATATTCTTTTCTTGAGTTATTTGCTAAAATTTGGCAGTAAAACTATTTGGGCCTGGGCAATTCTTTGTGGAAAATATTTGTATTATTAATGCAATCTCTTTATTTATTATAGGTATTCAGATTTTCTATTTCTTCATGAATCAGTTTTTGGTAATTCATGTCTTTCTGGGAATTTATCCATTTCATCTAGGTTATCTAATTTGTTGGCATACACAGTTGGTGTTCACAGTATTCTCTTATAACTCTTTTTATTTCTATAAGGTCAGTAGTGATGACCTCTCTTCATTGCTGATTTTAGTTCTGAATCTTCTCTTTTTGTCTTGGTCAGTCTAGCTACAGCTTTGTCAGTTTCATTGATCTTTCGAAGAACCAACATTTGATTTGTTGATTTCTTCTTTTGTTTTTCTATTTTTTATTTCATTTACTTCTGCTCTAGCCTTTATTATTTCCTTCTCAGCCTTTGCCTTGGGTTTAGTTTGCTCCTCTGTGTCTTAAAGTTCTACAGGGTTATTGATTTAAGATCATTCTTTTTTAATATGGATGTTTCCAGCCGTTAATTTCTCTCTATGCACTGCTTTACGTGTATTCCATAAATTTTACTATGTTGTGTTTTCATTTTCATTCCTCCTGAAGTATTTTCAAATTTCCCTTGTTATTTCTTCTTTGAGCCATTGGTTATTTAGGAGTGTGTTGTCAAACTATTGGAACTCATAAAAACAGAGTAGAATGATGATTACCAGGAGCTGAAGGGGCAAAATTGCAGACATGTTGGTCAAAGTGTACAAGCCTTCAGTTATAAGATGAACATGCTCTGGTGGTGTCATGCACTGCCTGGTGACTATAGTTAATAATATTGTATTGTGTACTTGATATTTGCTAAGAAAGTAGACCTTAAGTGTTCTCACCACACACACGTACACACTCACACACGAGTGGTAACTATGTAAAGTGATGGATGTGTTAATTAACCTGATTGCAGCAATTACTTCATAAAGTATACATATGCCACATGATTACATCGTATACCTTAGATATATACAAATTGTTTGTCACTTATACCTTGATAAACCTGGGGCAAAAGATGAGAATAACCATCATACAAAGAAAAACAAATTTGGAGAATCTCTGCATTCCTTCTCCTCCTTGCCACTGTTAGGTTCTGATCCCATTCTCTGGGAGACAACCCCTCATCTCGTATTCTCTGTGGCCCTTGTATCCACACCCCCAGAGGTTAATTCCCTTATGTTACCTGCAATGACCACATCCGAAATGGGTGGAGTGGAAAGTGGGAAAAGGAGGGCTGGAAAGTTGTTTCTATTCTTGAAAAGTCAAAGTCTTTATAGTCTTGGTTCATAGTTTATTTTGTCATCAATTCTCTCAAAAACTTACTAGGCATCTGATACATTTCATTCCTCCAATTATTTGTATGTCCTAGTAACCACACTCAGGTCCTTTCCTAGAAGTAATTCTCAGGCCTGATTGATTTTGCTGCCTTTCCCTATGAACATAATAGAGCTACCTGAGACTATCTGGCACAATATGTGGAAAGGCCACACACTTCTACCTGGTTTCTTTATTGTTACATTCAACTGAGAGTGAACTTAGAGTTCAAAACCATTTCTCATCTCATCTCTCTTTCTTTGGGGCTCATAGGCAGTGGCTTTTCTAATTCTACCAGACTTTGAATTTATGGGATCTATTCTTTTCCTTTAATTTTTGGCTTGCAAACTAGACAATGATTTCCTGAATGTATGTATGTTGAGATACCCTACTGAACACAAAAAATAACCAACATTTGGTCTGCCTCCCAAGTTACCATTTTAGCAAAAGTTTGACACAGAATAACATGTATCGTCAAATTTACAGTTTCCAATATCAGTTTCCTTGCCAACCTCATCCACAATCCTAAGCCAATGCCACATATTTGAGGTTTGTAAGGGTAGCACCCCACTTCAAGGAACAAATTTCCATATTAGGACAAATAACACTATCTACAGTAGAAACAACTCTCAAATATCAGTGTTTATCTTTCATTCATGTCACAATCTGATGAGGGTGGAGGAGTAATCTGGGACTCTCCTTCCATCTACAGCTCTGTCATCTTGGAGTCCTTTACTTCTATTTTGTGAGAGGAAGATGTAGAAAGAGGAAGATCCTCTTAATATTTAATATGCTTAAGTATAGTATGATTTAATGTGAAGACTTTGTTGCTTTTAAAAATACTGCTATATTTATCAGGGTGTGTGTATGTGCGTGTGTGTGTGTGTGTGTGTGTGTGTGTGTGATCTCAACTAACTCTTCTGTGTGTGGACACTTAGGACCACAGAAAGGATATTTAAAGAACCTGTCCCTATTGCCACAGCATACCTGACTAGTAGGCTAACCACTTAGAAAACAAGCTGCATCACAAGAGTAACTTTGCAACCTAAATAAGCAGGTAAAACCCAATATTCTCCAAACATAGGGCCAGAACATTCAAGAAAGCAATTTCAGAGGTGAACATACATGATGGGATCCTGAATTTTGGTGAGTTGTTGGAGTAAGAAGAGCAGGTGGTTCACACGGAGAGGAGGCAGCACTTTGCCATGTAGGGAACTTTATTACATCCCTTTCTTCTGTGTTCCCCATGTTTTCAGAACTACTATGATTTTATGCAGAAAGGCCACTACTTCCCAAAATCTCTTCATCTGCAATGTCACATAAAAAAATTACAGTGAATTAGAAAAGAAAGAGAACAACAGAATATGAGAGAGTAATAAAGTTTCAGAATCCTCTTCTTTCCTATCCTGGTTTTGTCTGAGCCACTTTCATGCTGCAGCAAATGTGGTTGTGGTGATGGTGAGGGTGACGATGAGGTTGTTGATGATGATGGAGACAAGGATGATCTGATGCCTTACTGAGTACTAATAGATGTCAGGCATTGTGACGACTCAATTACCATTCAATTTCATGCCAAAGGCAAGTTGGTAATATAAATATGATTTTCCCCACTTTATAGTAGAGAGATTAAAATCCTGAGGAGTTAAATAGTTTGTTCCTCATCAAACAGTAATTAAGGAAAATAACATGCATTTGACATGATATAGAAATAATGTTTGCTATGACCAAAAATTCAGATAACACTGATTGTGAGAGGCTGAGCCTTGAGATCAAAGAAGGATAGAAACAAACCAAAATGATGATATGATATTGCTAACGAGCAAGTTTTAAAAGGAAGAAAACATATATCCCATCACACAAAAATTATACTTTATTCAGGAAATGGAAGAAAAGTAATAATTGCCAAGCTGATAGAAACCCCTATCCATGTGACAGACAGACACAGAAGACATCAAGAGAATCCTCAGCTGGCACCAGGAAGACAGCTACTGTTCTTTCTTCTGAAGCTCAGGGATGCCGGCACAGCTGAGGACCACCCTTTCTCAGCTACCTCCTGGAGAGCAGCAGTGTAACAGCCTCAGGTAGGAACCCTTTCACTATTAGGAATCACACAGGCATTTTTCAGGCTGAATGGTGGAGAAGTGTCTTCTGTATCCATGGCAGGCTTGAAGGTGGAGCTGTGGAACGAGGTGAGCCAATTGTCCTTATCTTTCCCTGATCCTGATGGATGCTGAAGCTCTTACTTTCTCTTGGGTGGGCACTTCTGCTGGCATGGTGGAGGGGGTTGCACAGGAGGGCATTTCTGCTGGCACTGCTGAGGTGGGCATGGCTCAGGGCACTTTGGAGGTGGGCATGGCTCAGGGCACTTAGGTGGGCACACAGGAGGTGGCTGGCAGGGCTGCTTACACTGCTGCTGTTGATAAGACATCTTTCGGGAGGCTTAGAATCTGAAAGAAATTATAGACAGTGTTCACATGAAGGGTCTCCTATAGAGAGAGAAACTAAGGATTATATAGTATAAAAAGACAGTCCCTCTCCAATCTCCAAGATTGTGCTGTAATCTCTAGACTTCCTTTTTTACGAATTTCTGGCTTCTCCCTTCCTCTTTAGCAAACTGTTTCATCAGTCTTGAGAAAAATCTCTCTTTTCCCATACCGTATTTCCAAGAAAATATCTCTGTTTGAAAGAACCAAGTTATGATATTTGTATGAAAATAGCATCTTCAAGAAAGGCCATCACAAGTTCTGAAATACTGGGTAAACTCACAAGCGATTGCTATCATCAAGATCTCTCCTGAGGTCCCAATAGACTGACTTAGGGCAAAAGGCCATCAGGAAGTACCAATGGCTTCACACCTTCTGAGACACAAACCTTTGAAATCCCAGCAGAAGGAAAGGGACACCAAAAAGATAGAGAAGAGAGAAAAGTATATAGAGAAAAATAATTTGGTCTTCCCTTTTCTTTGTATCAAACCATTCCTATTAATTTCTTTTCCATATGAGACATCAAACTATCTACCAAAAGACAAGTGAAAGCAGGATATCATTGCGCCCCAAGTCTAAGTTTCTATCTCCTAAGCAGCAACAAACCCACGATCATGTCTTTGGACCCAAAAAACTTGCTGTCTCCAGACTAAATTCAACATTTGAGAGCAGCAAAAAACAGATGAACTCAAGAAATCAGACTCACCACGTTCTCCAAAGTAGATCAGGACTCAAGTACCAGGCGGATGGCAGTCGTGCAGTGGAAGACCTCTTTATAGGGCTTGATGCCCCACCCCAGGGGAACTGGAGCTGCCTAAAACTGACTAGATCTAGTAGTTTCCCAACCAAAATGCAAATCCATCCATAACTGGCTTGACAGGGACACTGGAAACAGGAAATATGCTGCTCCTGGGTCTCCTCCCTGGGTTAAATGCTCATGAGTCACGGAAGTCCTAACTTACCTCTCAGTTTCAATGACTTAGGGCAGGTGGAGACTTTGGGGAATTCTCTAACTGGTGGTCAAAGGCTCTCTCTCTTGACTGGGGAAGATGACTCTTTCCTATCTTTCACCTTCCCTGAATAATGAAATTGTCTGCTCTGTTCCGCTCTAGCTGGTTGCCATTTTGCTGTACATGCTGGCTGGAAAAGAGCCTGGCTACCAGGTGACACCTTTCTCTTTAACCCAATTCCTTTTTGTAATGCATTTCCCCTCGATCTGTGGCTTGCTAATCTAGGTTCCTTTCTTCTTCTAAAACGGATTGAGGTAAGGCTGCCAGTCATTTCAACAGCCTTCCCATAATTAGACTTGGAAACATTGAGTAAAATGGTGACATCCAGCATCCTATTTTCACTGCTTTGGTCCTTCAAATAGAGGACATAAAGCTGATTCCAGTGGCCTTTATAAATCTGTACCACCCCAGGTCACATGGAACCCACAGGACCACAACATCACCTATTATAATTCAAATGTTCTGGTAGCTCAGTCCCTAGGCCTACAACAGAAAGCAAGCTCTTTGCTCATAACTCATCAACATGACATACTACCTGCTCCTACATAACTTATCCCAGCTGACTTCTTTCTACTTCTTCAACTTTTGAAGATAACTTAGGGGGATTATTCAAATTTTCTGGCTTCCTGCCCCTTTGAAATCACTGGAAAATCAAATCCAATAAGCAATGCCTTTCAAACAACTAATTTTATACGTATTTTACGTTTACTATTTAAACACGTTTTGTTTGGTATAGAATCTGTGGGTAAATTTGAGTCTAAGTTAAATCACTTTATGAATAATTCTGTCATTGAATTTAATTGCCATTGATTTACAACTTCATCATTAACAATAATTTAATTATAATTTTTACTAAATTTAGGATTTTTCCATATGATCATAGTGGAGTATATGCCAAATAAATCTATTGCCATCTCTGCTTTCTTCATACAGTTTGTCAGTGTGCTAGCAGGAAGGTGTGATGGTTAATTTATGTGTCAACTTGACTGTCCACAGGGTGCCCAGGTATTTGGTCAAACATTATTCTGAGTGTTTTGTGAGAATGTTTTGGATGAGATTGATATTTAAATCAGTAGACTGAGTAAAGAAGATTGTCCTCTATAATGTGGATGGGCCTCATCCAATCATCTGAAGACCTGAATTGAACAAAAGTCTGACCCTTCCCCAAGCAAGAGATAATTCTCTTGCCTGATAGTCTTCAAACTGGAACATTGGCTCTGCAGATTTTGGACTTGCCAGCCTTCATAATCATGTGAGCCAATTCTTATAATAAAACTCTCTCTCTCTCTCTCTCTCTCTCTCTCTCTCTCTCTCTCTCTCTCTGCCATGGTGGTCTAGTGGTTAAGATTCAACACTCTCATCACTGTGGCCTGGGTTAGTTTCCTGGTCATGGAACCATACTAGTCGTCTGTCAGTTGTCATACTGTGGCAGCTGCATATTGCTGTGATGCTGAAAGTTAAGCCACTGGTATTTCAAATACCAGCAAGGTCACCCATGGAGGACAGACTTCAGTGGAGCTTCCAGACTAAACAGACTAGGAAGAAGGACCTGGCCATGCACTTCCAAAAACTGGCCATAGGCCAGCCCTGGTGGCCTAGTGGTTAAGTGGCTAAGTTCAGCATGCTTGCTTCAGCAACCTGGGTTTGGTTCCCCAGGCCAGACCTACACCACTCATCTGTTAGCAGCCATGCTGTGGTGGTGGCTCACATCAAAAAAAAAAAAGAGAGAGAGAGAGAAAGATAGGCAATGGATGTTATCTCAGGGAGAATCTTCCTCAGCAAAAAAATAAATTAAAAGATTGGCCATGGAAACCCCATGAATAGCAGCAGATCATTGTCTGATACAGTGCCAGAAGGTGAGAGGATAGCGCAAAATAACCAGGCAGGGTTCCACTCTGCTCTACACAGGATTACTAGGAGTCAGAATCCACTCAATGTCACTAACTATTTATATATGCTATATCCTGTATGTTCTGTTTCTCTGGAGAATCCTGACTAATACAGGAGGAGAGACCTGAAAAAGAACCAGAGTAGGTCTGGTCCCAGTTGTATCTTTGATGAGCCATGTGACCATGTGCAGGTCACCTCTCCTGACTGGGTTTGAATCTTTCCCTATGAATAGGGGCAAATAATACCTGTCTCTTGGGGTGGGAGCTGACAGCATGGGCCATCTCTTTACTCTGTTCAAGCCTGAAATTCTCTTCTCCTTTCTTCCCATAGAACCACAAATTTGACCTATATTTCCTGCTTCTTTGAAGCTATCTTCTCCACCCCGTTCCTAGAGTCACTTCCCCCACCCCCAGGAGAGATTTCAGAGTGTAATCCAGTCTCCTCAGTACTTTTCTTCCTTGCTGCCCTCAACGATGTACACTTGAGCCCTTTTATTTTAAAAATACGTATTCCTAATCATCACTTTAAGGAAATGGAAAGAAGTGAACCGAAATCACAAGCATTCATTAAAAATCTATTTATTGAACCTCATCTATGTGGTTCCCTCTGATGTTTCTTTCCAAGGAAGACACCCTCCCAGGCAAGGCTACTCTTGTTGTTAGAGGTTACTTGGTCACACCTGCCTTAAATGCCGGCATGACTGAACTGTTGAAACTCCCCCATCTACATTTTAACCATAATTTCCCCATGAAATTAGTTTCCCAGAATATTAGCAGGTAAACACCCTTCCCCACCCTTTTCTCAGCACTCCTGAGACTACCTGAAATACACATGTATCTTATCACACACAAACACTAAATTCCAGAAAAGAGTAAAGAACAGCTAGAGTAACTATGGAGTTGATAGATTGCATATAAACGTTGAAGTCTCCTGGACTGCAGGAGCCTTTAGAACCCATTCACCTCCCCATAATAATTCTGCTGTGTCCATTCCTCAAGCTGACGTTGAAGAACTTGGGACACACTGAATTTTGTGATCAAACTGCACACCTGTTCAGTACCTGAAATTTCACTGCACACATGCTAACTTTCATCCTGCCTGCCACTCCTACCCCACCAAGGCTACCACCACTCTGGACACTTCTTCAACAGGAAATGTCTCACTTTTTCTACTGGCCTGGGCTCAGGTATCATGCACCAAAATACTGGAAATTAACTGGAAATCCTTTTTATTGATCTCTAGTGAATAGCCACCTCTCAACTTCACAGCTGCCAATAGACGGAGTCCCATTCCAGTGGCACATACACTGAAACATTTCTTCCTTTCCACCTGTTTATGGTCCTATAAGTGCAGCTTTTCCTGCCAGGCAACACAGCAAGGCAAACACATAACCCAGTGCATAGTGGTTGTCTGAGCAATACCAAAGGACCACCATTCTCCTCTCTAGCTCTGCCCAGTGCCTTCTCATCTCCTCTCACAGGTCCCCAGACTCTCCACTCTATACTCCAACTATCAATATCTATGTCTGTCCCTTGACTATGTGCTACAGCTTCAAGTAACATACTATACTTCAACATCCTCCTGAATCCTCCTAAATCCTGAATCCATTGAATGATTGACAGCCAAACAATGTTCCATGAGAGAATACTGGGAATTGGCTCTCACTAAACTTTACTTCCTACCTTCCAGGGTCTATGAAGATTCCCTGACTGACAAAAGTGTTCTCAAATCATAACTGTGGAAGCCATGGTCTACTTCTCCGAATAGTCTCATTTAGCTTTTTCTAATAGCCATTTTATCCGTCAAATCCACATAATTCTTTCCTGGCAGCACCTACCACAATATATGGTCTGGACTAATGGGTCTACTTTTGCTGTAGCATTAGAACATGATAAGTTCAAGTCATCTACTATTTACCCACCAGGACCCACACATGCTCTTCCCCCACTCAAAGGTCCTGCCTCCCCTGGCCCATTCATTACAGCACCCCATGGCTGCCCAGCACTAACTGAGAGCCCCAGAGGCACTGTGGGAAATGGCCCTTGTGTTCCATTCCTCCCAAAATGCCCTTCCTAAGGAGATGGAAACCTTGTTACTCACTCAGTACCGGCCAAACTGGAGATTTCTATACAAAGAAGTAGTTATACAAGTCATAGAACTTGCAGTGAGACACCCAAGAAAGAGGAAACTGGGAAAAACCCCTTTGTTTCCTTAATGGCTGACTGAGCTTGGAATTAAAAGTGCAAGATTGAACATCTTTCAACATCATTAATTATCAGGGAAATGCAAATCAAAACTACAATGAGATATCACCTCACGCCCATCAGAATGGCTATAATTAACAAGACAGGAAACAACAAGTGTGGGAGAGGATGTGAAGAGAAGGAAACTTGCATACACTGCTGGTGGGAGTGCAAACTAGTGCAGCCACTATGGAAAACAGTATGGAGATTCCTCAAAAAATTAAGGATAGAACTACCATATGATCCAGCTTTTCCACTGCTGGATATTTACCCAAAGAACATGAAAACACAAATGCATAAAGATACATGCACCCTTGTGTTCATTGCAGCATTATTCACAATAGCCAAGTCTTGGAAGCAACCTAAGAGCCCATCAAGGGATGAATGGATAAAGAAGATGTGGTATATATACACAATGGAATACTACTCAGCCATAAGAAATGATGAAATCCAGCCATTTGTGACAACATGGATGGATGTTGAGGGTATTATGCTAAGCAAAATAAGTCAGAGGGAGAGGGTCAAAAACTGTATGATCTCACTCAGAAGTAGAAGATAAAAACAACAATGAACAAACACATAGAGACAGACATT